AACCTGGTCGAAAACTACAGACCCATAAATATCACTCCAGTTATATCACGCATAATGGAAAAAGTGATACAAAATCAACTGTCTGATCACCTACTTAAGGAAGATCTAATAGACCCGTCACAACACGGCTTCATTAGAACAATGTCGTGCAGTACATGTCTGATAGACTTCTTTAACGAGGTTGCTCGAATACGTGACCAGAAGAAACTAGTGGCTATACTATATTTCGATATGAAGAAAGCCTTCGATCAAGTACCTCATAATCTTCTAATCAACAGACTTAAGTCAGTTGGGATTATTAATCCTCTTTTGCAATGGATCAAATCTTCTTACAAATAACCAAGATTAACTCTACAACATCTACACCTCGACCAATAACTAGTGGTGTTGTGCAGGGTAGTGTCTTGGGTCCACTGCTCTTTATAATCTACATCAACAATATATGCAAGTGCTTTAGAAAAGGTAAGACCTACCTCTATGTCGATGACTTAAAAGTCATCTATAAAACTGACATTTGCGATGTACGTGGTACTGTGTAAACAATCCAACATGAACTCAACATGGTAAACGAATGGTGCAAACGCTGGAGGTTAGAGCTCAACACAGAGAAATGCGGCTGGTTATGTATAGGAGAAACGTCTCTTAAACTGAAACTAACACTTAACAACCACACACTGCCCAGACTGGCATCAGTAACTGACCTAAGGGTACATTACTCATACAGTCTTAATTTCTCTAAACACATCTCAGCCAAAGCATCTAAAATGCGGAAATTGCTTGGCTTCCTTCTCCGTAATTTCTATCAAAATGAATCTAAAATCCTTCTTTATAAAGTTTGTGTAAGACCTATCGTTGAATACTGCTCGTTCTTATTTTCCAACCTACGCCTACCTGATATCCTGAAGGTGGAAGGAATACAACGAGGCTTCACCCGCAGAATACTTAAGACTGACTCAACCATTGACTACAGTTCCCGATGTCAAATCTTAGGAATAGTATCCCTTCGGGAGAGAAGGGTTAGGCTTAATTTAATTCCTTACTTCAAACTACTCAAAAGCTTTACTTATTCATCATGTAAGCTAGTTCTTGCACGAGATTCACATGAACACGAACTCGAAACAAAGTATCTACTGTCAAAGTTGAAGAATACAGATTAAAAACTCGAGAAAACTTCTTCCTCATCAAGCATGCAATAATATGGAACAGTCTTCCGTCCGAAATACGCATGGCAGATGAATTACATACGTTTGTAAGACTGCTTGATCAAGCCCTCACTTGCACGGACGAACACATCTGCGTCCCACTCAGACATAATAGGCTCTCTCCATGTCTAGACCAAAATGGACTTCAAGTTCAGTTTGCCTTATTTTTCTTAGTTTATACTATAGTCAATTGAAGCACTGCATCGATGCTTTACCCACACTCCATAGCTTGTAACTGCCTGATAAGCTTGTAAAATGGTACTTATAGAAATAGTGCTTTCCAACAGGATGTGAAACACAGGGATTGTGTGAGGTATGACATATGTCCAAAAATAAGCTTAAATGAGCCTAACATCACAAAAGGAGGGAGGATGGAATTACTGACCAGCAAGCAGTGATGGTGAGGACGATAACTTCAATCCACCGTGTTTGTGGGGACAGAACATTTTGTATGTATCAGGTTCCTCATGATTGAGAATAATTCAACCAATCTGTGATATAGATTGTCTTCCTACGCTCACCACTCAGACTCATGTTTCCAATATTATGCTGGATTAGCTATTCTACAAAGACAACCTAAAACATGCTAACTCGGACTTTTACACTAGGATTGTGTGGCTGGCACCAGATGGACACAAAAAGAAAAGAAAAAACTGGACAATAAAAAATATAGTCATTAGTATTCTTAACACTCCAGCCTCTATATGCACACTCCCTTCTAATAAACCGCTTTCGTTTTACCAACCTTGACTTCCATTCCTTCATGTGAGCTAACTTGATAAACATCACAGCTCATTGTTTTTTTATTACTACGTTCTCTTATATGGAGCCTCTGACTTCATTGCACTCTAACAAGAAATAATATGAATTTAATCTAATTTATCATACCTCTGTCTGTTCTACTACAAAAGGTTGAGCAACGTTTTGCGTTCATATCCAAGTGCCTTGCTGCTCTTTTGATTCTCTTTTTCTCTTCAGAATCTTGCTATGAGGGCACAGCTATGGAACATCTGACGTCTGGAGCTAACTTGACGTCTCTCCTCAAGGTCATGGTTTACAGCGAGCGCTCTGCCAGTCTACTTTATGACAACCATAAACATTATTCAAATGGTTCAAAACGGTTCAAATGGTTGTGGACGGAATAGAAGAAGCTTTCGCTTAACAGACTTCCGTGTCTAGTAGCAGGCGATCACCAAATTCTCCAGGCAGGAACCTAGGTATTTTAGCAATATTACGGGAAAAGAAATTATTAATCATAGTGCGATACTACCCTTAGTCCTTAAGAATAGATCAAGTTGCGTCTTAAAGGACTCCTGGGAAGTCGCTTGAACTAGCTCGGCCGGCAGCGAATTTCAGCATTTGACAACGGGAATGTTGTGCACCAACAAATTTTGTCATTTATAGATCAAGCCTGTAGAAATGCCGTGTACCTGCACATGCAGAAATATATTATTATTAATAATGTGTAGACTATTAATCAAAGACACTACAAATTTGTGTACTTCAATTAATCATTGTCACTTGTATCTTCGGAGTTCTAATTTCATCCTATTGTTTTCCACATTGTAACCAACATAACTGCAACCAGGTATTGTGACAGCTGCTGGTTTCATGAAACCTACTGCGGTCACACTAACACGTTCTTTGATTACAAGGAATAAATGGTTCAAATGGTTGTGAACGGAATAGAATAAGCTTTTGCTTAACGGGCTTACGTGTCTAGTAGCAGTGTATCACCTATACTTACAGGCAGAAACCCAATTATATTACCGGTAATGGAGGAAAAAATAAATTGGTAAATCACAGTAAGATGTTATTCGTAGCCCTGAAGAATAGGTCAAGTTCCCTCTTAAAGGACTCCTGGGAAGTCGCTTGGACTATCGCAGTCGGCGGCGAATTCAAACATTTGACAAATCTTAAGGAGTAGAAGTTGTGTCTACAGTCCGTTCTGCTATGTTGTGTCTCCAATTTCTGGGTGTTATCCCTTAGGTTAGTATTGAGACTACGTTGAATGAGGTGTTTAAGAGGATGTTCAGGAGTGTTAAGGATACGGTAAGCCATATGAAGGTAACCTCTGAGGCGCCTATAGTCCAATGAGTAAAGGTTAAGTGATTGGAGGCGTTCTTCATAAGGTTAGAATTCGAGTCCCTAAACTGATTTCGTGGCTCGCCATTGGATACACTCCAGAGTCTCCTTGTCCTTTCGGAGTGAGAGAGGAAATACTATGTTTTCGTACTGTAAATGGGGACGGATAAAGCTGTCGGGGATCTTGTGGAGAGTTCTTCCGTCAAACCGGATAAAAATGCGCTTCAATGTTATCAGTGTAAGGATTACTCGAAAGGCACTTTTTCACAGTTGGCGTAGGCCTTCAAACCGTAGGGCACCAAGACTCGTAAATTTCTTTCAACTTGGGATACGTCTAGAGAGGAGTTTCTTAGGTTGTAACTGTAGTCTGCAAAAAGCAATAAGTCTGACGATACCTGTTGAGGAAGATCATTTATGTAAATCAAAAAGATAAGGGGTCTTAGTAGTGAGCCTCGGGGGACCTCAGCAGGATATTCCATAGTCTGAGATAAAGTGAAGTTAACGCTGACCCTAAAATGTTGATTTCTCAGATATGAAGTTAGACAGTCAATTGGAGGTGGTCTGACACCCAATCGTTTGAGTTTATTGATAAGACATGTATGGTTGAACCTATCAAAAGCTTTTGAGAAGTCAAGCTAAATGATGTCAACCTTCATCATGCGATTGACTATGCTTGTTCACCTGTCCACTGCAGTCACCAGGTTGGTTATACAAGAGTGGCCTTCCTGAAACCATGCTGTTGGCGTGAGAAGAAATTTAAGGACAGTAAATAGTCATGTATACCATCGCTTATCAGGGACTCCATAATTTTCGAAGGTATAGAGAGAAGAGCCACCGGACGTTAGCTTGAAGTTTCCTTTGAAAATTGGTGTGATGTGAACCAGCTTCTAAATTTCCGGTAGTTTACCTCGGCTTAGCGAGTGTGAAAACATCACGCTAAGCAGTTGTGCCAGGATTGAAGCTGCTTCCCTCAGTATAGCAGAATGAACCATATCCGGTCTAGGAGAAGTATTTTTCTTAAGTGCTACAGTTTCCGGTACACCAAGTTAGATCTCGGGTTAGCTTCGGAAAGTCCTGTACAGTTGTAAATGAAGCTTTCATCACTATAGTTGATGTTTGTCCGTTGAAATGTCTGAGTGTATTGTTCAGCCAAAAGGTTAGCGGCATCGTCGTGATTATTGGTCGGTTCGTTAGGACCTAGCAGTTAGGAAACTCCAGTTTTCACTTGTCGAAGAGAGGCTGCATAACGGAATGAACTTTTCGGATCTGAGACAGATTTACCGATTAGCTTTATCTGGTACTAAAGCCTGTATTCTCTTATAGCCTTCGAGCATATGTTCCTTATATGTTTGTACTGCCTGTAAGGGCCGTTGTTATCAGTTCGTTTGCATTCTGCCCAACAGTGCCTTTTGTGCCTTGGCAAACGAAGAGTGCGGTTCTTGATGACTGTAGGTTGCTTTCAGATTTTGGAGACCATTTGAGTAACGAACTGCTTTGTAGCACATAAAAGCATGTGAAGTAAGAAATCCCAATGAGCAAAACAACTACCAAAACGTTAGATCTATTGTGGTTGAGTAACTGAAAAAAAACACTTTGTAAACCAACAATGACCCTAAATCGTTCTGAAACACCAAGAAGGGACTTTAAAGCCCTTACTTTTTTGTACGGTCTTCACAGATATTTGATACAAGAACATCTAGTGTAAGCGCTATATCTAATATAAATGGTAATTCAAGGTGAGTGTGAATATTGTGTAGGCGTTCCGCTCTAAACATAGTTTATCATTTAGCTCCATTACTAAGTAATAAACCTAACTTTGTAGTCATAAAAAGCATTTCGTTCTGTAATAAGTATCTCATTGGATCACAACAAACTCACTTTCACTAGCAAACAAAGAACAATAAATAAATATTAACTTCAAAAGAAGTCAAGTAACATTCTTTGAGAAAATATGGTGCTTATTTAGGCAGAATCGCAACTGTAAGTTGCCCTTTTTCACTCACCATAGACGAGGTAATGAGACATTCCACATCATTTTTTCCTATGAGTTTAGAAACTTGGAATTAGCATATTAGTAGTTACTGGTTAGTTTACTCCCTAAATTGCTTCCAAAAAATACGACCTATGCATAAACCTACAGATATTCAGATGAAAGTCACTGAAAAGACCTCTGGATTTCCACATAAACTGCATTTTCCTATATTATAAACTAAAATTGCACCTCTTTTCACGAACTTCACATCCTCAGAAATCTAGTCATCTACTACTTGCCCTCAAGAGACTTGTTCACAGCAGGTCTCTCTGCCTACCTCCACACGTACATGACAATTGAGAAATAAGTAAAGTTCCTAATAGGTAATATACGAACCATGTGTAAGGGCTTTTATGGAAATTTCATATAGTTATCAGAGTATTTTTATTTTGTAGGCGCTTTCAATACCTATTATCTTGCTGATTGACCACTGTAATAAAATTATTGACATGCGTCAGGTATATTGATTATACGTTTGTGGCCTGCGTCAACACCCGAACTAAGAATAGAGAGTGAATTAGTCGAACGCGTCGCCCTAATGGGTTGGTGTCTAACGAAATCTCTGCATGGATTCACAAAGCTCGTTTTGCCCTTGCCAAACTACATCACCTATAGCGATGTTGAGATATCCGTCTATCAATAAAAGCACGAGTTTAATGTGTGGTAGTTCGTCCTGTTCTACTTTACGGCTAAAAAACGTAGACATTAAGAGTAGAAGATACACGTAAGCTACTAGTATTTGACCACAAATGCCTTCGAAATATGTCCAGCATCTGCTGGGATCATCAGGTAAGTAATAGTGAGGTTAGACTCAGGGTATTATAGAATGATGGTAAATCATTTGGTGAGGTTGTGATTTTTCATCGACTATGATGGTTGGGCCACGTGTTACGTATGTCTGAACACCGATTACCACAACGTGCAATGCTGACTAGTGTTGGAAATGGATGGAAGAAAGTTAGGTGCGGTCAAACCAAAACGTGGTATCTGTCCTTGATGTCACTAACTTCTTGTCTGAGCGATGTTGCTAGATACAGACTACTTGGTTAGGGTCTGCGTGACTATCGTAACCGATGGTTTTAGACTGTAGGTGACACAATTCAAAATCGATCATCATGGCGTAGGTGTATACATTCTTTGTCTTCCCTTAAACTGTGGGATTAAAATTACTTTATACCATTCTTTCTACGAACTAATTCTTTCTTCCTGTATTATATCCTTATACACAATCTTTCTTTTATATATTACTACCATTAAATTAACTACTTCTATTAATTTGGTGTTCACACTGTTGTGCTGTGTAGCAACTTGGACCTATGTATGTATGTGCCTGGTCCTATGTTGTAGCTGACTGACTGACTTGTGACCTGTATTGATTATTAACATGCTTCTCATATACTATAACTTCTCACTATGGCACATGCAAATATTAGGTTCACAGTGGAGCATAAGCATGACATTGTGTTTCATTTTCTAGACCTTGGTATGTAGCGTAGTATAAATGGTCGATTGGAAAGTTGTATTTATCGAAAGGACAGATGTAGTGGGTTTTACTTGTATTTTATAGCTTGTGTATAATAGGCTACAAAAAGCCTTAACTAAAACGCCATTCAATCGTGTGAAAAGATAGAATCGATGAGGAATTAACTGTGGTTGAACGTTGTTTACGTGAGTATGGTTACCTTCAGAAATTCATAGACAAATATGAGAAGACTAAAGCGAAGAAAGTGGAATATGTTATGGTGAAGAGGAAGCCTTTATTTTTAGGACTTGGCTTCAACAGTGATGAAGTAGCTGAAAAAAACTGGTTTTCCACTGAAAGCCATAATAAAAAGGACTTATTCAGCTGCCAAGCTTATCTCTCTATATCACAGGAATCGCTCATTAAAATGATCATGTATTGGCTGATTTCCACCATATGTTACCTCCGGTTGTATCTCTCAGTTTATATGTACGTGCCAAAGCATATGCATCGGAAGGGTATAAAGGAGGATTAGTGTCTGTATTGTTGAGGACACTACACAGAAGCTCAGATTAAAATAACAGAAGTGTAGTCGCACGCCATCTGCTTGCCCGTGGCTATGATGTCTAAAATTCCTTCCAGATAAATAATAAATTAAGAACTCAAATTTACGTTTTGTCAAATCGATTGCCATAAAATGACAAACCAAATTCAGGTTTCCAGAAATGTTCAATCGTCAATCATTCCTTACCGTAGTAGACTCATTCATAAGTATTTGTTGTGCAATTTTTCTTTCCGTGGCATTAATTATTCCTTCTCACTTTATCAGTACTATTAATTTTTAAGGATTTCATAACTATAACATTAACATATTCTTAAATACTCTTATTTCTGTTCTTAGCTATATATATATATATATATATATATATATATATATATATATCCTATGAATATCCACATTAATTAACATTTGAACATCTCTCATCGTTCTTTCATACTTATTACTCTTATCAATCTTCATTCATGAGAACACTTGATGTTATGATATAAAGTATATGCACTAATGTTTTTAAAGATTGTTACCGCGAATTATAATGAGTTCACGTTACTCTACTACACTAATTGTTCTTAGTTTAGTCATATTTACAAATGAAAAAAGTGGCGAGGTTAAAATTCATGGGCGAACCATTCAGATGTAAGATAAGGAGTCATTAATTTTGCCGCGAAATTCATCCATACATTTGGCTAAATTGAGTTTTGACATTATAGCTCATGTCAATTCGTGATGAAAACCCTAAATCTAATTTTTAACCCTAACCATCAACTGTCAATGAGAATTCTAATTGCTTTATAACTCTCATTTAGTCCTAATCAGTAGGTGTTCACTCTCAGGGTCACTTCAGCGTCGCTCAAAGGTCGTTCATAAATTATAGTCTCACCAAAAAAGTTGTATGAAACTGAAATACAACTAATGATTTCATTAAATTATTTGTGATGTGTTCTTTTCGAATTCTGATTTGTCAACCTTTCTTAGTATTAGAATGCTATTAAGGTAATCTCACCTGATGTTGTTCGAATCTTATAGATTAATAAACATGTCAATGTGCACTGTCATATGAATAAAAGCTGGTGGTACAAATTTCTTACTGTTTCTTTCTTTATTTATTTGAATATTAATATTGGTACAGGGTGGCACCAAATAGATATGCGCCACAAAAGTCACTTGATTTGTGTGAACTCTGGGATACTCCTCGAGTGCTCAGACCGAAGCAGGTGGTTTTCTTAGGGGGCCACCCCTCGAGCCTTTGAATTTAAGGTCTGACCCACAAGGCAATGGAGCATCGTGAGGAGATGCAGTCCCATGGTAGCCGGTAACCAGCGATTGGTTCATACGTCATTTGTTCCTTCAGGATACTGGAGTCCATGTGCACCATTGGTTTGGAATCCGGTTAAAACGCCGGATATTCGCTTTTCGTCTTCCCAAGTTCGTAAATAATAGTAATGCCACGAGAAGGCAGTGAGTAGGACTTCCTTGGCAGAGGCTATATACGCGTGGCCATATGAGAGCATTTCGAAAGGGAGGGTGGGCCCACCCCACTCACGGTCGTACCAGGGTATTTATGGGCCCCTTTACATCTATATTATTAACCAAAACGGTTGTTTGCAATTTCGTTTAATAATCACTACTTGTTTTGTGATACTCGAGGATCGATCAATAAAAGTATTGATGTGTATCAGTTCAAATTTTTACAGGGAGAGAATGTTAACGAAGAAAACTTAGGTAAATGTAGAACCGGAACTTTTGGAATTGAGACTTCAATATAGTGTGTCTATTCACTCCAGTGCAACTGCTTTGTCACATACTAACTGAACTTTAGAACTATCGATTAGTGTTGTTTTGTGGATGCTTGAACGTCTTTGCAAGAGTCTGTCTAACAATCTTTAAAATTTACTAGACAGTGATTAGTTGGTTACTGATCATCGAAGAAAGATATCCCACATTTTCACCGTGGAGACTAAATTTGACAGTTATAAAACAAAGTGTTCAGTAAATAGAATCTCTCTTAAAGTTACACTCTCAGTTTTTGTTTGATATCAGTTCACGTTTATATAGATAAAGAAGCATATAATTTAAATGGTTTTCTAAATAATAATTTTATAGATGTTAAGTAAGCGGTTGATTGAAAATGTCCTGCGTTCCCAATATCGGAAAAGTTTGCCTACAAGAGGAATGCAATGCTATTCTGGAGAACCTGGTTCATGTTCATCAACTGGTGCTCTTCACTGTAGACCTTTAACAACTCCTCTGGGATTGATCAAAATTACTTGTGTTGTAATATCCTCAATTTTCGCTGGTGCATGGATTAGTAGAAATGGAGCAGAGTTTCTTGAGGAAAATGAAATTTTTGTTCCAGAAGATGATTAGAAACCAATATATGTTAATAGTCTATTCTGTGATTAGTAGTTTATTCAACTAGATTGTATAAATCTTACATATTATTATTTGCTTTATCTTTCAGGCCTGTTTCTGTTATTTATTGTTAACAGTAAATTAATAATAATAATAATAATAATAATAATAATAATACAACGTAGGACCAGGCACATATGTGCATCGGTCCACGTTGCCATACCTCATTAGCACAGCAAGATGAACACCGGATTCATAGGAGTGGTTAGGTCAAAGGTTGCAATAAGGATATAGTATAGGAAGAAAGAATTAGTTCGTAGACAGAAAGAATGAAGTGATTTTAATCTTTTAGTTTAAGGGAAGACAGGGAGTGTATACACCGACGCCATTGTGATCGATTCTGAGCCATGTCACTTAGAGTCTCCAACCATTGGTTACGATTGTCACGCGGACCCCAACCAAGTAGTCTGCATCTACCAACATGGCTCAGACTAGAAGTTAGTGACTTCAGGCACTGATGCCACGTTTTGGTTTGGCCGCCCCTAACTTTCTTCCAACCATCCCCTACCCCGGTTAGCATTGCACGTCGTGGTAATCGGTGTTCAGGCATACGTAATACGTGGCCCAACCATCTCAGTCGATGAAGATTCATAACCTCATCAACTGATTTGCCATCCTTCCCCAATACCCTGCGTCTCACCTCACTATTACTTACCCGGTGATCCCAGCAGATGCCAGCAATATTGTATGTTAAATGATGAGAAACTATAATGTAATTCATTGACTAAGTACGTTTTCTTTTTTTTTGTCCCTAAGCTACACTTTTTGAGTGAAGCTATTGATTCTGTTCATTTCGTGGAAGCAAATTAAACGTGGTAAGGGGTTAGTATCCTTAAGAAAACAGTTAGAAGTCAAATGCTTTAACTACTAAATTAGCACTACATAGTTTGGTGAATGTAGTTCTTTGATTATTGAAGATACTTTTGAGGATATGGTGGTTTCTAATCTAATAGCTATTAAGTGAATAGTAAGATCGAAATATCAGTCTGGGAAAGTAATTTAACTCGATTATAAATAGTTAATATCGTTGACTGTGTCGTTTAGTTAAGATATTATTCAGTATCTATGAATACTTTACTTCATGTATTTTGTCTTTCTATATCAGTTCACTTACTAGATCTCTTAAACATATAAGAAATTGTCAATCTAAGTGGATTATTCTTAGCTCACTCTGACTAACCTTATTTTATTAGTTAATTATTGCGAAAGACCGATTTTTCAGTTACTATTTTTGATAGAAAAAGTTGAATGTAATGAAAAAAAACATGATAAACTATGAACGCTAGCTAGTGAAAACATTTTGGTATCATGTAAAAAGATCAGAAATCACCATTCAAACACCCTTAAACGCCCTGGTACAGTCGAGAATGGAGATAGTCTGCTCTCTCTCTCTCTCTCAAAATGTTCTAACATGCATACAACCCACTGTCAGGAAAGTCCTTCTTGCAGCACTACTATTGTTTACGAAATTGAGGACGAAGAATGAATATCCAGTGATTTAACCAGGTTGGTGGATACGGAGAGTCCATCTAGGGCAGTTAGAAAACCCTGATTCCAAACCACTGGTGCACATGCGCTTCAGGGTCGTGAGGGAACAAATGGCGTATGAACTCCATTGTTGGTCACCGCTCACCATGGGATTGCATCTCCAAAGGTTGCTCCATTGCCATGTGAGGTTTGACCTCTAAGTCAAAGGCTCAGAGAGTGACCTCTTGAGAAAACCGCCTGCTTCGGTTTGGGCGCACGGACATAATTTATCCCCGCATGCAGATCAGATGATGAAGTGTGAGCACATAAATTATCTGCTTCCTTGTTCTAATATTTATGCATTTAAATAATAAACACAACTCTCTAGAACACCTCATCGTTAACAGTCCATTAAAATGCAAGCTTTCTCTTAATGTGTATTTTGCGGTTACGCCACCAAGCTCTTATTTAGATCCTTAAGAGAAAACAAACCCATACATATAATTATTCGACTCACTGAAGTTAGTTCAAGCTAGGTAAGATTTCCATGTTGTGTTTTCGTTTCAGCCAATTCAATTATTTGAAACAGTAGGGCAAATAATCCAACTATCCATCCAAGAAACTGTTTGTTTTACCTCGAGTAGTTGAGAACTGGGACTTAAGCAACTGTTTTCTATTCGTTACATCCCAAGTTAGAATACTAACTCACTGTTATTTGGGCAAATGGTTCGTGTCGTCAAGCATGATTACTACTCGGACGCAGTTGCTAGCACTCATCTATTATCTTACTAATAGACTTAAATGCGGGTTCCCTAGTTGTCTTGTATTCGTCAACTAGAGAACAAAATGTTTCTGTTCCTTTAGTGAAAGTTACACAAAAACAATGGAAAACTCGGTCGAGATAAATAAGATGATACGAAATCTGGACTCTGCTGTATGTTGGCTAGGACGCTAGTTAAAGAGAAACAGATTTCGAAAGAAAGTCGTGTTATTGACTATGGCGGGGCGTACTAACAACTCCGTCGTGGAGAATCCTTGAAGGTGATTGCTCGTGGCTAAAAGCGGGGTACAAGAAACATCGATTTTAAGTGAATCCTCCACAGACTACAGATTTTCAAAACCGCTGGTTAAGTTTTGGTAGTATGGAGTTTTGCCATTAATCATCTGTCGAAAGGTAGGTCGGAACCCGGCTGATCATCAGTCATTACTGTTGCAAAGCCAAAAAAGAATTCACTTTCTGCATTATTTCATTCTCCTACTTATTCAGTAGTCCGGCCGTAGTCGAGATGGCAGAATATTAGAGATAGTTACACTATTATTAAGACAGTTTATTTATGTAAACACATAAACATTGGTACAAGGAGGCACCAAGTAGATATGCGACACATAAATCATTCGATTCGTGTGAGGGCAGTGAGCAGGACTTCCCTGGCAGAGGCTGTATACGCGTGGCTGTGTGAGAGCATTTCGAGAGGGAGGAGGAACCCATACCACTCTCGGCCGATACCAGGGCATTTGGGGGCTAAGCAGTTTAAGGCTGTTAGGTGTATCAGACACCACACCCGAGTATGACCTAATACAGTTCACTCTATTTATTGACCTCTTCATTGTAAATAAACGAAATCTATTTACACTGGTGTATATTTCAATATTGTCTGTTTCAGTAATTATAGACTTTTGAAATCACATATATTAGATCAGGTCATACTAGATCTGAACCTGTCTTTTTGATATCTTACTTAAACTAGGATTTGTCATTTATTACTTTAAATATTTAAGCATCATCTACAGCGCAAAAATTGTTATTTATTTATTTGAACACAAATATTGATATAAGAAGGCACCAAATACATATGCGCCACACAGATCTCATTTGATATGTGTGACGACTGGGATACTGCTCGGGTGCCCAAACTGAAACAAGTGGTTTTCTTAGGGGGCCACACCCCGAGCATTCGACCTAAAGATCTGATCCACAGGGTAGTGAAGCAACGTCCGGAGATACAGTTTTTATGGTAACTGGTGACCAACAATAGTTTCATACGTCATTTGTTCCATCAGGATCCTGGAGTTCATGTGTACCATTGGTTTGGAATCAAGGTTTTCCAACTCTCCTAAATGGATACTTTACAAATTTAACTTTACTCTAATGAATAGATCATTGCATAATAAACACTGGACATAATTCACGTGAAAGTTTTCCAAGTTATTGTAAGAAATACTCTATCAATAGCCATTTTATTTTTGAGAAAATTTAATTAACAATAAGAATGAATGAGTTAGAATAAAACTTAAAAAGGTGATAAAATAGGAATAATGGAATGTGTAATACATTGAACTGCACATATATGATGAGAAAAAAAAAATGACTAGAGATTCTTTCAATGATATACAATATCAAGTGTAAACTGGATCAATTTTCCATGCCCCTAATGAATATCGCAAACGAATCATAAGCAAATCTTTTGCCATTTGAATCCATGAGAAAATTGGGACCAGTTTCGAACCTGTTAGTAAGAAGAAAAAAAACATGAACGGCAAACACTATGTAAACAGTTTATAAATCACATAAATGATTCCTTTTAAAAACTTAAATGAATATTCTAATTAATTATATGTAACACTGGTCATGAAAATAGAACTTTTGTTTCTCGAGTTGCAAAGAGTCAGTCAGTCAGCTACAACATAGAACTTCGTACGTGCCTGCACTAGTTCGAGTTGCCATACTACATTAGCATATAGATACAATTGTCGATTCAAATCCCATAGTGATAGAGGTAGTAAAAGTATAAGCAGTAATCGGAAACATTAGGCTGTGAAGATGTTATTCAAGGAGTATAATCTAGTGAAATAAATTTGAAAACAGAAAAAAAGGGAAATGAAGAATTCAGAAGAACACAAAGAGTGGGTGCATCTGCGTCATTGCAAACGATTTTGAGCCATGTCATCCAAGGTCTCTAACTATGACTCTGTTCCAAAGAGTCGTTAAATGTTCAACTTAAAGTGAATAGAAACCAACAGTGACAGCTTTTATAGTTCGGCAGATTAATTTCTTTATACAGAATCAGTACTTTCATAACCATTGTTTAAAGAAACTCTAAGTTACTGTTTGAGTTAAGGTCTCGAAAAGACAAATTTTTTTCAACAATTTAGAAGTAAATTACCTTATATTAAGTGCGAAATAATGGCTAATTGTTCAGTAATTTCCCCCAAAAAGTGCAGTTGTAATATTTGATTTTCTCTTATATTACTATGTATTCTAATCAGAGGGGTTTTGTGGAGATTGTACTAACTTAATAATTGAATTCATGTGTCAATTGAAGCTGGACCACCGTGGAAAACCTGGAAGCATTGGACGGCCGTTTCATCCTAATATGGGACTCCTCAGCACTGCGTTCGCGCACGAGACAGATAAGTCTTGAGTTCGAATCCTCGGGGAGGGGTTGTGGATGCGGATTGTTGAGAAATGTCATTCTAAGATGAACGGCCGTTCAGTGTGATTCCAGGTTTTTTATAGCTTATATTGACTCATGAATTCAATTATTAAATTATTATATATTCGTTTAATAAGTACCACAACATTGATATCAAATCAGTAAAATTGTCATAATGGTCGAATTAATATAAAATATAGAATGAGACAACAGACAACTCTTGGTGTGTTTGATTTAAAGTAGGGTATTCAGAGATTACAATCAAGAATTACTCAAATTCTTGTCAGCTTCCACGTAAGGATACCCAAAACTGGGTATAATCTGAGTATGATGTTTGAGGCCAAGGGACCTAGTTCTTCATTGCGTGTTTTTAGCCTATAGGGTTTGGTCAACACGAAGTAAAACACGGTCCTGATTATTATTACCAGACGGATTTATGCACACTAATAGAATACAGCTTAGTTAAGAAATCGATAATGAAAGCAAATGATGCGAGTCTCGGTCACATTATGAGTCAATAAGTAGGCTGTGACTATTTCTAAAAATCAATCAATTACTTCAAAAGTTCTTTCATGAATATGAGGTGTAATACAGTGATCCTCTCCTTTAGTTCCAATTACAAGGAGAACGAGTATGGAAATACAATTGTTCACTGCTTATATTCACATTGTTGCAATTAATGTAACCAAAAATACCATGTTACAAAATCTTACGTTGAAGATTGTTTATCTTGTAGGAAAGTTGTTATAACGCTCAGTTTTACTTCGTCTAATGTTATGTCGGTTGTGTTTACACGTTTACACGTACGAGACGAATATCTACACTAGATTACCTCCCAATGTTTATTCTACAGGACTTCAACAAAACTCAGATCAAGAACACGTGATTAGCCTGACCACAACATAAATATATTTCCGCACCAAAACCCGACACAATCCAACAACAATGAACAATCAATAATAAGTGAGTGAGTAATAATAATAAGGATAAGGGAATATATAACTCATCTCACACCTGTCAGACTATCTACATCTCTGACTGAGTAGACAATCAATCATTGTCATTCTCGCCCACACATCGAAAGTCAAAACCAAAGCATTGTGAAACATCACGAAATTTTGTTCGTTGAGTTATATTGCCTAGGTGGAACAATGAATCTCAAGTGGTATGAAATATTTTTATGGAATTTGTGCTGATGATGTTGTTCAGAAGAACAATGAAATCTCCACGACCAAACAATCCGGCTTAGAGAAAAAACTCCATAAAAATATTCACCATCTCGAAATGGTATGGAATATAGATGTAAGTGTATACTACGTAAAATATTGTTATAGTAATACAGGCCCTCAATTGCCCTGGTACGGCCAAGAGTGGAGAGTCCGCTATCCGTCTCGAAATGCTCTCATATGACCACGCGTATATAACCCCAGCCAGGGAAGTCCTACTCACTGCCTTCTATCAGGGGTGTTTTTTAAGAAATTGAGAGGACGAAAAGAAATTTCCGGCGCTCTAAACGGATTGGTGGACACAGAGAGTGCATCTAGGGGAGTTAGAGAACCCTGGTGCACATGGGCTCCAGGATCGTGAGGGAACAAATGGCGTATGAACCTATTGTTGGTCACTGGCTACCATGGGATTGCATCTCCTTACGATGCTCCACTGCCTTGTGGATCAGACCTTCAGGCCGAAGGCTCCGGATGTGGCCCCCTAAGAAAACCACCTGCTTAGGTTTGGGCACCCAGGCAGTATCACAGCCCTCACACAAATCAAATGAGATTTGTGCGGCGCATATGTATGTGGTGCTCCCTTGTGCCAGTACTAATGTGTTCAAATAAATATATAATAGAAATACGTAGAAAAACATATACTTTTCCTTTCGGAATTAACTGAACTGGAGAAAATACAGTAAATGAAACAAAACTGTACATTACAGTACAAATATTACCTGGAATTTCCTGCCAATGCACAGGTATTTCAACAATATTCATATCGAAATGCCGAGCTAAATATAACAAGTCTACATCAAAAGCCCAGCGATCAACATGCAAATTATGAAATAACAAACGAGCAGCAGGTCGACTAAACAATTTAAATCCACATTGTGTATCACGAACTCCACGAACACATACAAGCCAAACAAATAGCTTAAATCCATACATGAGCAGATTTCTTAATGGATGACGTTTAGCGAGTGCCTGTTCTTCTAAATGTGCTCTAGAACCACATATCACCGCCATGCCACCATTCTAATGCAATGAAGCAATAAAATAAAAGTGAAGATTGTTGAGGATATAATAATCACTGTTTGGGTTATTTGGTAGGAAATGCATCGATGGTTGATAAGCCAGATCATAATAAGTTATCTACAAATTAATGTTCACACCTAATCATATAATCTATCTATCGTGTTGCACACCACGAATGGATGCACCTCCACCATTGCGAACTGTTCTGAGCCACGTCACTCAAAGTTTCTAACAATTGGTTACAATAATCACGCAGACAATAATCAGGTAGTCTACATCTATTAACATGACTCAGACCAACAGTCAGTGTCTACATAGACCAATGCTGAATCTTAGGTTGCCCCCCCCAACCTTCTTGCAACTTACTCCTAAATTGGACAACATCGCCTGTTAGGCTTAAGTAATGTGCATTAATCGCCTCAGTTAATGAAGATCTACTTCATTAGTCGATATATTTCAAACAGCTAACTACATGATTTTACAAATGTACTTTATTCTTAATCCATTGATCCCGTTAGGATACTTTGAGATTCATTGATTTACAATCACAAAAATTGAGCTAAATTCATTTTGGAAGCATTGAAATCATGCAAGGAAATTCTATTTTTAAGATTGTTTGCCAAATCTAGATGACTAATTGTGGTTTTTCAGACAAACAATTTTGTCTACGGTTGTTGTGAAAAGCGGCTACATAAAACAAACCGTCAGTATCGTCTTTCCCAAAGGAGAGCGATTCGGAACTCGGCAATTGTATGATCATTACCGAATACATATAGGACACACAAGTCACTTCATTTATGTGTGTGGGTTATGATACTGCACGGGAGACCAAACCGAAGTAGGTTACCGTATAACTTGAAGTATTTACATTTAAGTACATTACATTGTAATGTTATGTTTCACCTGATACTGCTTAGATAGTCCTTTCATTTTAATTCTATAGTAGTTTTTTCGAAATTCAGTGTAATTAGAAAATATTGAAAGTAAACACAATATTAAACTTGTCTGAATTACCCATCTATTAGCAACAGATGATGCTAAAGCTTCCTCCAGTTTTTCAATATCGGAAAACTGAGTCGCACCATCTGCATCTACGAACAGAAGTATCCGACCACGTGCAGAAAGCATTCCCTAAAAAGGAAAAGTCCAATTAAATTAATAACGGTATATACACATAGTAGCTGCTGTAAAATAACTGAAGCTTTAGCTCATCAAGACTAAACAAGGCGTTGACCAGTATTGATATTGGTTTTGTTGTATCAACAAAGTAACTTATCATAGTATTTAAGTATCTTTTTGTCTCATCCCCATTTCATTTTGTTGCAGTGTGACAATTAGAAGCAAAAAAACTCTGTATGGGGTTAAGTACATTTTTATAATTACATTCAGTATCGGTTGCGTATGGTGAAATCAGTAAAAATACTAGCAAAATGCCATTACCGGAGGTGAAGCTGAATTCAAACATACAATTTGAGTTTTACGTGCAATATGTAATTGATTACTGATTCAATCCGGATGTCTAAACCAATATCGATGGAGCGGTTTCAAACCTGCTGCATACTCAATGAAAGTTGAGGACGTTAACCAATTTAAGGAAGTAGGAACAAAGCTAGAAGATTGAAGCAAAAAATCTCAGTTGTATTCAAAAATTACTACTCACTATTCTGACTGCAGCACCTTTTCCACGATTCCGATCTAAAGATATTACACGAAGTGTATCTGAACCCTCGAGTTTGCAATATTTGTGAGCAATCTACAAGTTAGTTGTATATTGACATTGTTTTACTTCTAATGTATGATCTTTACTACCATCATTCACGATAATTATTTCAAATGTGAACTTTTTATTTGAATCCTTTTACTAAAATAAACTGAAAATTCAAAAATTACTTTTCGTTTATGAAGGTAATCTAATGTTTCAGTCAACATTGCGGGAACTGAAAAATGTACAATGGTTTTAATTATACCTACGGCGTTCAACTTCGTTGTAAGCTGGAATTATTACCGATAATTCTTTTTCTGGTCTTTCAGTAAGCCCAAATTTTAACTTAATATATTCAGATTTATCCGGATCATAAAAACATTCTTCTGTACTGCTTCTGGATAGGTTCGGATATGGATCTGTGGTAAGGTACATTACAATCAGGAGCTGAAATATAAAGTTGAACTGGGAATATATCAACTTACTATGAATGTTACTATGACTAAGGTTGTTATGATGGATATCAGAGATAAAAGCCATAGTTCTAATGACATTCTTTTGAAAAAGTTAGGGAATCAATAGCTTTTGTGTCTAGCTTGTAGATATGTTACAGATACGAAGTTCACTCAGATATTGTAGGAACCTGGAAAAACAAAAATGAGTTGATAACAAAATAAACATGCATAATTTTGACTTTTTGTCAAGCAACAATAATAAACAAGTCTCTTTGAGATTGTTCGAAAAGCCTGTAGGTCTTAAATACAGAAGTACAAGTTAATGATTAGTGTCTAATAAATCTAACAGAAAAAGACTAGACCAAAAGAATATCGAGAAGGAACTAATTAAATTGTATTTACTTTAAATCGTGACACAAATAACACACTTAGTTGAGTATTTGAAGCTGATAGTCAGTAGTACCATTCCAAGTTAATCTAGGGATCTGTGCATTATTAACATGGTGTTGCCACTGGATGTCAGCAATCCTTCGGAGACAACGATGGTCAAAAACAGAGTCGTCTAACATGCTCAACTCGGAGAAGCCAGGCTTTACAAGCATAGAGAAAAACTGCTGTCACTGGCGCGTTGTAGATCCAACCTTTTACAACTTGGCTGACATCACGAAGACGCCAAAGGTGGCCCAGATTAACATAAGCCGCTCTGGCTTGCATTGATCTCATCACTCACGCCACCATCAGCATTTATGCAGCTACTTAGGTACACGAAATGGTAGTCAGTAGTCCCAATCCAATTTATTCTAGGGATCAATTTCAAAACTTATGAAGTTTTACAGTGACGTTTGCACATGATTTTGACTATAAATTTTCGTATTTGACACTAGAATCACATTCTTAGCACTACTTTATAAGTAAGATTTCGAAGCGATCTAGAAAAAGGAATCAAGTTATGTCAGCCAGCCAGTTACAACGTAGGTCCATGCAAATATATGCATCGGTCCAAGTTACCACACCTCATTAACACAACAAGATGAACACCAAATTGAGCAGTTACTTCAATGGTAGTTCAAATGGTTGTGGACGGAATAGAAGAAGCTTTCGCTTTACAGGCTTCCGTGTCTAGTAGCAGGGGATCACCGAATCCTCCAGGCAGGAACCTAGGTATGTTAACAATAAAAGAGGTAAAGAAATTGGTAAATCATAGTGTGATGCTGTCCTTGGTCCTTAAGAATAGGTCAAGTTGCCTCTTGAAGGACTCCTGAGAAGTCGCTTGGACTAGCTCGGCCGGCAGCGAATTCCAGCTTTTGACAACTCTTAAGGAGTAGAAGTTGTGTCTACATTCCGTCTTGTTATGTTGTGTTTCCAGTTTCTGGGTGTTACCCCTTAGGTTATTATTCGAACTAAGCTTAAGTAGGTGTTTAAGAGGATGTCCAGAAGTGTTAAGAATACTATAAGCCATTAATAAATCACCTCTAAGACGCCTATACTCTGATGGGTAAAGGTCTAGTGAATGGAGGCGTTCTTCGTAAGGTTTAGATTTGAGTCCTCGAACTGATTTCGTGGCTCGACGTTGGATACGCTCCAAAGTGACCTTGTCCTTTTGGAGTGAGGGAGGGAGTACTATGTTTCCATAATATATAAAAGAAATATTGTGTATAAGCATATGGCACAGGATGAAATAGTTAGTTCGTAGAGAGAAAGGTATAAATTAATTTTAATCTCAGGGTTTAAGGGAAGGCAAAGTGCATACACCTACGCCATTATGATCGATTCTGAGCCTCGTCATCCAAAGTCTCCAACCATTGATTAAGATAGTCACGCGGACCCCAACCAAGTAGTCTGTATCTACCAACATGGTTCAGCCCAAACGTTAGTGACTTCAAGGACTGATGCCACGTTTTGGTTTGGCCGCCCCTAACTTTCTTCCAGCCATCCCCAACACTATTCAGCATTGCGGGTCGTGGTATCCCAGGAGATGCGGACTATATTTCTGAGACATCTGTAACCGAATACTAGTAGCTTACGAGTATCTTCTACTCTTAATGGCCACGTTTCGCAGCCGTAAAGTAGAACAGAACGAACCATCACACACTTAACTCGTCGGCAACGCTTCAGGGGTATTGTTCACTGATGGAAGTTGCGAGCACTTGAAGGTCAAACTGTCTCAAGTTAATTGGTGCATCACATCGACAATTCGTGAAAATCTTCAGAAGCGGTCAAATCAATACACTTTTAGATTTTAATTGAGTTCAGCCACATCATGTTTGATAACGTCCATTCTTCAAGTAACGAAGACTAAGCCATCGTGTTGATGCATGATCATGCATCGATATAGATTTCAGATTTGTGTAGTAAGGACAAAAGGCCTACGGCCTGTGTTATTACTTTTCTAGTATGCTTCTGTGTGTCCAGTCTTCTCTTGAAAGAGTCAATTGAAGGTGCGGATACCACTGCTTCAGGCAGCAGGTTCCAAGTATTGATGACTCGGTGTGAAAACCTGTATGCCACGGGTATTTTGTTCGTTCTTGGCTTTTCTACTCGCCTGCTATGTCCTCTGAGGTGTCCCGATCTAGTGGGAAGAAAGAGAGAGAATAAGTTAGGTCCGAAATCATTTCTTAGTATTCTGTACACCAATATTAGATCTCCCCTTATTCTGCGATAGGACAGAGTAAAGAGGTTCAGTTTTTCAGGCCGCTCTTTATATGATAAACCCCGGAGTTCCGGAATCGCACGCGTAGCTGCCCTCTGTACCTTTTCTAGTATGTCTGAGTCACCTTTTAAACAGGGGCTTGCAGCCTGAACACAGTTCTCTAACTTAGTTCTCACTAAGGATGTGTATAATGTGGTAAACATGGTAGTATCAAGCTTAGTGAATGTCCTTTTTAAAGCCCAGAGGGTTCGAAACCCCTTAACTGCGACCTCCCGGCAATGGGCCGTCGTCTTAAGATCATTGCTCACTGTCACCCCTAGGTCCTTATGAGACCGGACTACGGGTAATGACACATCCCCTATGTTGTACGTATTAACCTTTGAATCCCCCAAGTGCATGTAGACACACTTTTCCGAGTTGATAGGCATTAGCCACCCTTTAGACCAGTTTATCATATTATTTAAGTCCGCCTGAAGAGTAAATGCGTCTTTGTCTGCAGTTATAACTCGCCAAATTTTACATCGTCAGCGTATAATAACATTGGAGACTGTACTATACTTGTAAGATCATTAACGTAGATTATAAAAAGTAAAGGACCTAGGACGGAACCTTGGGGTACTCCACTAAGTACTGGTCTCCAGATGGAGCACTTGGAATTTATTCTTACTTTTTGCCTACGACCTACTAGGAAATCCTTAATCAATCTTAAAAGAGGTCCGGCAATACCAAGGTTTGCCAACTTCAATAGCAGTCTATTAGTTGGCACCTTGTCAAAAGCCTTACTGAAGTCTATGTAGACAGCATCCACTGAGTTTCCATTGTCTAGCGCATTAATCCAGAGCTCCCTAGCTATAAGGAGGTTCGTTGTACAAGAAAGACCCTTTCTAAAACCATGTTGTGCCATGTTCAGCAAGTTATTGATTTCCATAAATGCCGTAATTGTCCGTTTGATTATCCTTTCCAGTATTTTAATTACAACACTGGTGAGGCTTACGGGTCTGTAATTTGATGGAACTTGTCGTAGACCAGTTTTATGTATGGGAGTGACGATTGCGTCCTTCCAGTCCATAGGTAACACACCTTGGTCAAGTGACATTTTGAATATCACAGTCAGTGAGGCTGCGATTTATTCGGCAATATGTCTCAAGATTTTAGGGTGTAGTTCATCTGGTCCTGTTGACTTCTCCATGTTTAGGGTGCTAAGAGCCTTAAGCACATCGTTTTGGTCGAAGTCCACGGTGAGCAGCTGGTTTGTTGACTCTGTATTTGGGTCTGGTTCTTTCTCTAGAGGAGGTTCCTGCGTGAAAACTGCACCAACATAGTCAGCCATAGCCTCTGCTTTTTCCTGATCTTCCTCTATCATTTCAGATTCACTTCCTACTTTAATTAGGTTGGGAATTCAGTGATGAATCCTTGTTCTGTAGTTTATGTACGAGAATATCCTCTTGGGCTGTTTGAGTGCAGATTCTGCCAGCTGCATTTCATATTTTCTTTGAGCTTCCCGAACTTTAGTTATACACTCGTTTCTTATCGATCTGTAGCGTTCCATCGTACCTGCTGTGCCAAGGCGGGTGGCACCATCCCAGCATTTCTTCTTTTGTCTTAGTAAGCGTCGAATATCCCGCCCTATCCAGGGATGTCCGTGCTTCTTTTTCTTTGGGACAGTCCAGGGTATGTATGGTTGAGTTACCCGATTGTATAACTGCCTGAATAGAGTCCATGCCTCTTGTACTGATGCCTTTGAGTCAATTTCCCAGTTCTCAGCCGATGCTGCGGAGTTAATTGCCTGCATATCTGCCTTCCATATGTTAGGACGGGCCGGCGCAATTGTTTGACAAGCAATCTCAGCCATGAATTTGAATAAGATGACTGCATGGTCACTTATCCCAAGTGGTGGGAGAAAAGCCGTTTGACCAACGTCATCACCGTGTGTGAAGACTAAATCTAAAAGAGAGGAAGAGTTTCTTAAGTCGTATCTTGTGGGATCTCTAATGTGTTGGAATAATGCTAGTCCAATCGAGGTTTCTAACAGTTTGGAGTCGAACGACGATATAGATGACTCTACTTCTAAGTTAACCCAGTTTATATATGGTGCATTAAAGTCGCCTACTACAAGGCTTTTACCGTTGTTACACCAGGACTTAAGTTTACTGAGGAGAAAATCGTCTGCTACACATTCTGGACTGCGATAAACTACAACTAATTCAATATCTTGCCTTCGGCATTTCAACTTACATCTCACCAGTTCACATGTCCCTGAAACATGTGCTACTGTCTCAGCTAATCTTATGGTTAGGGTACTTTTCGTGTACACAATAACCCCGCCTCCCCTTCGGTTTAATCTATCAGCCCTACTGGTTATGAAACCAGTCAATCGGATTTCACTATCTAATACTTCTGACGTTAACCAAGTTTCCGAGACAGCGATAACGTCCGGTATTTCTTTATC